ATCAAGGTTAAAGATGACTCAACCAATTGTTTTTGCATAACTTTGTAATAACAAACAATCTAGCATAAACTACATTGGTGGAAAGAAAATCTAATTGCCACAATTCAGCTTTCCCTATGTATGTCTGTGAACACCAGTCACATTACTCTTTTAAAAAAATTGTACAAGGAAAAGCAGAACATTGAGATATAATTTTCTATAAAAAAATGTTTAACACGAATTTGATAGGTCCAGTCCATATGTATGTAAACAACTCTTAATAGCTTGCTTGTTTAACATTTGATAGCGTAGTGCTCTGTCTCTGTACAGTAATGAATCCTGGGTACTTGTAGAGGACCTCTGAAGCGGAGAAGCGTTCGATGCCGTGGCAGGCAGCGTTCGATCGATGTGATGGGTTCAGAGGGGGTTGGGGGGGGGGGCGTTAGGGGGGTGAGGGGGGGGAGCAGGAGGCTGCCGGTAAGTTAGAGTTGCATGCGGACACGGATGGAGAAGCTGGACAAGAGAAACAAAATGAGCTATTAGCCAGGGCGGGCTCGTGTGTCCGTCACGCCACGTGGGCTGACAGCTTGGTACAACTGTTACATCTTCAACACAATCGTTAGCTCCAACGCCATCCTCAATGCCGACCCCAACGCCATCCCCAACGCTATCCTCAACATTGACCACAACACCATCCTCAACACCGCCATTCACACTGCTATCACACTCGTCACTGCGCTTGTCTTCAGCTCTGTCTCAGATGACGGCGGTGTAATATAAAGAGCACATGTTGCTCGGGATGCACACTGGCCACGGCTCGCGCTCCTGGCTTTTTTTTACGTAACATGACAGGTTTGTGACTCACGCAAATGGTTTTACATTTCAAAAGGTGTGCATTTCACGGTGTTGAAAGTCAAGGTTTATAAAAGTTAATGATGCTCAAATTGAATTTCCACGTCGGGTTTCTTGGCGCAACTTGACTTGACATCTTGGATATTTTTCGACGTGTCGGTCCTGTCAATGGGTGAATTGGCTGAAAGTTTTTGCAAAATGAGACACAGCCTCTGGACGGAGCGCGTATCGCGCGATGCGATGAGCTTCGACTGCAATTACTTTTGGAGGAAGTGGATAAATGCAGGTTAAATGGGGCTTCGTTTTATACATTACAATTTTCTGATAATTACTGATATGCATCATCAGCCCTCGGGGATGCTTTGGCAGGCGTAGTGCATTTGCCTTATTTAATTAATCGATGTCTACTTAAAAAGAAATATATTTTTGATAAAAACGCGTTTAGGGTTTGGCCTAGAAACCGGCATTGCAATATTATAACTATGGCTGCTGCTGGCAAGGACAGTGCAGCAGAGAGCGTGGAATTATTCCTAAAGGCCCGTTTAAAAATAAAATAAAACTGGAGACAGCCTTGCACTGTCAAGGCCACACGAATGGGGGAGGGCACATTGATGTATTAGTCAGGGCACCTGGCCCTTCCGCCTGTCCCCAACTCTCTACTCGTGCCTTGGCTTCAGACGGCTACAGCACCGCACTGCTCTCCACATTTAGCACACTTTATTGCAATGCAATTAGTTAATTATTTTAAAAGAGCTCGTGTATTACTACGTGTTGCATGAACCACTGGAACATTTACTCATTGATAGTATGATTATTATTCATATTCAAGTTGCAGGCTGGGTGAGAGTATTCAGAGTATCGTGCACATGCCCTCGTTTGCCTCGCAGTCCGAACGGCTTCCACGAGCTCTCAGGTTCATTGTCGTGTTTATAAAGCAATCACACTCCGTGTGCTGTACGAGTGACGAATTCGCATGTTCTTTTACGTGACCACCCTTACTAGTTGGCCGTGTCGGGTGGTGGGGGGTTTTAATGACACATTTCTATATTTACGCGATCTAACCCCAAAAAAACCCTTTTATGGACTCCTTTGTTGAGTTTGGGAGTTTATTGGTTTAACACAACACAAAAGATCACTTTTCCCTGACCAGGTCGGGGCTTTAATTACTGCCACTGTAAGCTGGGCCAGGTTCAATCCCCAGATACCGGGCCTCGGTTATGTAGTCCACAGTAATGCTCGCACAGCCGGCATTGTCAAAGAAAGTTCTAAATTTTCACAGGAGCACGGTCAGTTCTGGCGGTGCTCTGCTGGTTTTTTCCGCGCCTTGAAACACTTTGTCTTGTTTTTCACCACACATTTGAATAAATGTGACATTTCTGTTGGTAGACCGGTTAATTTCCATATTCAAACGTGCATGTTAAATTACAGTAAACAAATGTATAAATAGAAGTTCTTTACCACCTCTCGTACAATGCAGGGTACAGTGTGTACGCTTTGCTCATTGTTAATCTGAAAAGAACCACCAGCTTTTGAAATCACCTATGGATACGCTGCCATCATTCTCGTGAGCTAGTAAAGGCACCGGGCGTGTGTTTTACTTCTTCCTTGGCTGAATAAACAAGCGAACAGGAGGCAATGGATTCAGCTGCTCGTGCCACTTAGCTGAGAAAAGTCATCCTCTCCCGCATTCCGTGAGCGCTGCTCTTTAAGATGGACCAGTGGGGCGTTTCACTTCGCCTTGTTACGCAGAAAGACGACCTTGCAACTTGCATATGTTTTGTTTTCGAGGTTGTGCTCTATCACGCTCTGATGAACCTTTGGGTTGTGCTATGCGTTGTTTGTCACGATGTCCGACGTTTCGCTCCCGAGTGCTGGGAAGATCTTCTTCGGGAACGCCGTTCAGCACTGGGAGCGAAACGTCTGACATCGTGCAGGATGACACGCGGCACAACCACAAACTCGCCGGCGAGCCGTACAGCACAACAGCATGGAGAGGCTTCGGCTTCACCTCCATGTGAATATTTTAAAACGTGTTTGTCTTGAGTCTCTGCCCAATGGTTGGGGTATTGAGAGGCTGCCGAATGCCCATTACCCCGGTGTCATTTAGGAATGCGTAAATTGAGGGGAGGGTCGCAGCTTCCGTAGATGTTTACAGTTCAAGGGCAGCGCGTTATTTGTTTGATTAAATCGTGAAAGGAAAATGTGACTTTTGCGAATCTCCCCAGAGCAAGGAAATTATAAACATACACTCATGGGTGGAGACACGCAGTGGTTACCACGATGAGCAGCCACCGCAAGATCTCGTGGCAGTCCGATGAGATTACGGCAGCAATATTTGGGGTGTTGTGGTGCGGGAGGCTTTTCACAAAGTGAGCATGTTAGCACATCCAACATGCACTCCCTTTCGGTTCTTGTTTGGTTGGTTATTTTGCAGGGTTTCACTGGCATGTTTTGTGTCGCCTTGATTCATAGTTAGGCAGAAATTATAGGAATGTTTTCTGATATTTAACACATCGGTGGAGTTTTGCCAATTTAATATTGAAAATGCAGCTTCTAGTTTAGGTTTTTTTTATTCTTTCAGTTTTATGAAATAAATTCCAAACCGTGGAAAATGAACGCACAGGATATAAATGTGTTTCCAGGAAAGGAAAGTGAATGCCATTTCACGTTAATTTGTGCGAGGCGCTGCCTTGCAACGACTAGGTTTTATGTTAAGTTCATTTCAATTATTTACGTGCTTGTTTGTGTGTATTTTCTTTAAGTGTAGAACTTTTCTGGCTATGATTCATGGCAATTTAAGCGAGGACTGTTTTTCCCAGAGCTCTGTAAGGGAGCTTCCCTCCAGAGTGATGGAAGGCATTTCCTGCTGAAAGGACATTGGGAGCGGATCTAGCCTCATGTGAGTTGTGGCCAATCACCCTGTGGCTTCCGCCGAAAAAAATACGTTTCAAAGTTATGCGGTCTTTAACCCTCGATCAGATCCAGATGCCTGCAAGGCCCTCATCAAATATGCTCTTAATCACGACAGCACAGCCACTGATTCTCAAACAATCCCCACGAACGTAGTGCTTTATTACGAATAGAAGAAAAAAGAAAAGAAAATACCAACTCGAGAGAAATGTCTGCGTCAGGGTAGGCTCCATTCATAGCTCACCCCCGCGCAATACGGATTCGCTCTGCTCTAGGACCTTACGCTGATTTCCCCAGTGGGCCTCATCTCCCCGCCACATTAAAGGTTAAGATGCGCGATGGGACATCTGCGCGCTCGAGATGGATCGCGCGGTGAGGCCGCGGCGGTTGGGAGGTTCTCCGAGTTGTGCCCGTTGTTAGTCCTCGGCAATGCCGAACAGCTGGGTTAAGCTGCCCCTGCCGGCCGAGTGGCTCAGCACAGCTGCTGGCGTTGAGACGCCTCCCCCCGTCCTCCTGCCGCCCCCCCCAATCCCCCTGCCCCCCCCCCCATCCCTGGGCAGTTTGCCTTCACTACTTACACAGTGGTCAGTTAATGTAACCCCCCCCCCCCCCCCCCCACGTTTATGCTGGGGGTGGCTTGCTTTATGAAAAGTAGTTTCAATGTTTGCCCTGTGGTGTTGTGCGCTGGGTTGGTTTCTACTGCCGTTTTCCATAGCTGCTTAGGTGTAGTGTTTACAAATATTATCATGTTGTTCTGAACGTCACTGGGGGGTTCACGGAGGTGTTTTGTGGACTGTTGTTGCCTTGTGCGGCACAAGTGCATGCAACAGAAAGTGCCGGAGTTACGTATCTCCCACACTCGCGTTGCTTACTCGACGTGTAATGAACCCTGCTTTCTGATGTGATAAATTGGCATGATTTTAGGGTCACGAATCAATTCAAACACTCGGTTATCTGTAGCTGCAGGGGTCATGTTAACCTATTACATGCAACATATACGAATTGTAAAACATTATTGTGATATTAACAATGATATTAACCAATTAATCGATGCACCGTTACACACTTTTACATGCACATTGTTCGGACATATTACATTTCATCAGATGTACTTCTTGCCTAGTAAATTGCCCCACAAACAGGAAGTTTGGAGGAAGTTCCGTCTTGCGAGAAGAAACTAAAAATGCTTGAATGGTCTCAAGGTTCTTGTCATGTTGCTGATGTTTGTGTGTCGCCCTGTGTCTCTGTGCGCGTCGCAGGAGCCACGAGGGAGATCGGTTCGGCCCTCACGCGCATGTGCATGCGGCATCGCAGCATCGAGACCAAGTTGGCGCACTTCACACAGTGAGTTTCACGATGCCTTCACTCTTTCTGAGCACAGGTCCAAAGGGACACCAAAATGCCCTAAAGCAGTAAGTAGCAAACGTCGCTATTGAAGGGTGTAAGAGATTAAACGTGAATACATTTCTTGAACTAAGCAAGGTTTGTAAGAAGAGTTACGCAGGATCCTCTCATTTTAAACCCAACAAACGGCAAGAAAATAACCGCGCCTCACTGTCACTGGAAAATAAAGCTCATTATTCTCAATCGCACCTGGGGGTGGAAACCTGACATGACGACGTGCACTGACGTTCGTTGTGGAGAGGTTTTTTTTTTCCTTTGACCAGAGGCATTGAGACGGGTAGGGGCAGCGATCCCTGGCCCTGCTGTCGTGTCCGCAGGCGTCCGTTTGTCGTGGCGACTGTCGGTGTCGCCATGCGCCACTCGCTTGCCTGGGACACGAGCTGAAGGACAGGCACTGTCTCTCAGCTGCCTGGGACACGAGCTGAAGGACAGGCACTGTCTCTCAGCTGCCTGGGACACGAGCTGAAGGACAGGCACTGTCTCTCAGCTGCCTGGGACACGAGCTGAAGGACAGGCACTGTCTCTCAGCTGCTTGGGACACGAGCTGAAGGACAGGCACTGTCTCTCAGCTGCCTGGGACACGAGCTGAAGGACAGGCACTGTCTCTCAGCTGCCTGGGACACGAGCTGAAGGACAGGCACTGTCTCTCAGCTGCCTGGGACACGAGCTGAAGGACAGGCACTGTCTCTCAGCTGCCTGGGACACGAGCTGAAGGACAGGCACTGTCTCTCAGCTGCCTGGGACACGAGCTGAAGGAGAGGCACTGTCTCTCAGCTGCCTGGGACACGAGCTGAAGGACAGGCACTGTCTCTCAGCTGCCTGGGACACGAGCTGAAGGACAGGCACTGTCTCTCAGCTGCCTGGGATGGGACACGAGCTGAAGGACAGGCACTGTCTCTCAGCTGCCTGGGACACGAGCTGAAGGACAGGCACTGTCTCTCAGCTGCCTGGGACACGAGCTGAAGGACAGGCACTGTCTCTCAGCTGCTTGGGACACGAGCTGAAGGACAGGCACTGTCTCTCAGCTGCCTGGGACACGAGCTGAAGGACAGGCACTGTCTCTCAGCTGCCTGGGACACGAGCTGAAGGACAGGCACTGTCTCTCAGCTGCCTGGGACACGAGCTGAAGGACAGGCACTGTCTCTCAGCTGCCTGGGACACGAGCTGAAGGACAGGCACTGTCTCTCAGCTGCCTGGGACACGAGCTGAAGGAGAGGCACTGTCTCTCAGCTGCCTGGGACACGAGCTGAAGGACAGGCACTGTCTCTCAGCTGCCTGGGACACGAGCTGAAGGACAGGCACTGTCTCTCAGCTGCCTGGGACACGAGCTGAAGGACAGGCACTGTCTCTCAGCTGCCTGGGACACGAGCTGAAGGACAGACACTGTCTCTCAGCTGCCTGGGACATGAGCTGAAGGACAGACACTGTCTCTCAGCTGCCAGGGACACGAGCTGAAGGACAGGCACTGTCTCTCAGCTGCCTGGGACACGAGCTGAAGGACAGGCACTGTCTCTCAGCTGCCTGGGACACGAGCTGAAGGACAGGCACTGTCTCTCAGCTGCTTGGGACACGAGCTGAAGGACAGGCACTGTCTCTCAGCTGCCTGGGACACGAGCTGAAGGACAGGCACTGTCTCTCAGCTGCCTGGGACACGAGCTGAAGGACAGGCACTGTCTCTCAGCTGCCTGGGACACGAGCTGAAGGACAGGCACTGTCTCTCAGCTGCCTGGGACACGAGCTGAAGGACAGGCACTGTCTCTCAGCTGCCTGGGACACGAGCTGAAGGAGAGGCACTGTCTCTCAGCTGCCTGGGACACGAGCTGAAGGACAGGCACTGTCTCTCAGCTGCCTGGGACACGAGCTGAAGGACAGGCACTGTCTCTCAGCTGCCTGGGACACGAGCTGAAGGACAGGCACTGTCTCTCAGCTGCCTGGGACACGAGCTGAAGGACAGACACTGTCTCTCAGCTGCCTGGGACATGAGCTGAAGGACAGACACTGTCTCTCAGCTGCCAGGGACACGAGCTGAAGGACAGGCACTGTCTCTCAGCTGCCTGGGACACGAGCTGAAGGACAGGCACTGTCTCTCAGCTGCCTGGGACACGAGCTGAAGGACAGACACTGTCTCCTAGCTGCCTGGGACACGAGCTGAAGGACAGACACTGTCTCCTAGCTGCGCTCCCTGTGCTTCTGCCGTCAAAAAGCGGATTGACCGCCTCGTCCAGAAATCTCCGTTCGGCAAATTCATCTTTGATGCAAAATAGCCTCCTGAATTCCCTCATCTCCAAACTCCACATGATCTAAATGCTACTGGCCAGACCTCTCAACCGCACTTATTAACATGACCACAGAAACCCAATTTTCCAATCCCCTCCCCCCACTGGCTGGCAACTCAATTTTAGTTGGAGTTCAAGGTCTCTCTTTAAGATTTTTCATGGACTCGCCCATGTATGTAAGTAAGTATTTTGAACTTCTTCAGCAGTCTACGTTGCCAACCGTGCTAATCGGAGGTGCGGGGGAAGGACAACAAACTAAACATAAAAAGCAGTTCTAAAGAGATGAGTTTGCCTATCTCTCACCTCTCACCTTTCTTCCATACTCTTTGCTTCAGCAACCGAGGCTTTTTGTCAAAGCCTCTACTCAACCGATGTGGGGCATTATTCATTCTCCTAAACTGCCCAAATAGCTTGAACCTCCCGTCCCCCAGGCATTTAACTCCAAGCTCAAGACATTCCCTTTTCTCTGCCTAAGACTGGATGCTTCCTTCTAAAAAATAACCATTCCCACCGTTTCTGTACAATATTTTGTGAACAGTCACATTTAGGCACGATGGTATATAGATTCAAATTGGAATGTATTTATGTAGACACTGAGTAGATATCAAATAGTTTTTTTTTCCATAAGTATAACTTCTATCCAAATACGGAGCAGATATATTAAATATCCGGAAAGCTAAGCCTCCGGAAACGTATTGATATATCTATACACAGAAATAGATCGACATAGAGATAGATAAAATAAATGCATTGGTGTTTCGGTAGATGAAAGGATACTGCTGCTTGGCTTGGGATTGGGTATTTCTCTCTGTGAATTGTAAATTATGACCAAATCACCCAGAATGCATCTGATCTCATCAGATCTCATCAGATAAGCAGGGTTGAGCTTGGATGGTGCATGAATGGGTTAACACCACGCACAAACCTCCATTAACCCACACTGGCCAGTGTATTGGTAGTGCCATCAAACAACACCCACAGCCTGCACGGCACAGGGAGGCCCTCATCCAGCAGCGGTCGCACTCACTACACACAAAGTGCTTGCAACAAATGAACCACAATACGTTGCTGATCTGGTCAAGCAGCATAACCCATCACGCGAACTCCGGTCATGCTCGCAGCAGATTTCGGCTGGCCATCGAACAAAGACGGTCGCCGCATCGCGCACATTCAGATGCGCTTCTGCAGCCGTCTAGAAAAACGCTTCCTTCCAATATTAGGAAGCCACTGGAGCTGGGCACTTTTAAATACTCATTTAAAACAAATTTCTTTAGAACTGCTTTTTGTGTTTAGTTTGTTGTCCTTCCCCCGCACCTCTGATTAGTGCAATTGGCTACGTATGGTGCGAAAGAAGTTCTACATACATATATACAGTGCGTAGACGAAATAGGCTGTGCATATGCGTGTGACTCGAAAGTGAGACATCACCTTGCGGCGGCTCCCGTGTGGCCCCACAGAGCACTCGCCAGCAACCTGCTGGGCCCCCTGCAGGAGAAGCTGGAGGAGTGGAAGAAAACAGCGGCTCAATTGGACAAGGACCACGCCAAGGGTAAGCCGTTTGTTCTCTGGACCAAACGTCTGTTGGAACAAGTTGCCATTAGCGATTGCCTATTAAGACCAGCATGGTACAATAGTGGGCATTGTTGCTAGAATTATGCCAGGCTGCTTTAGTCGTAGCAGTAGAGGCGTAACGAATTGTCACGATGCAGTGTCATGTGTCGATTCAAGAAACGATGAATTTTTTTTTACATTGCGGTTGATGTTAGGATTATCTAGTGGCTGCCGGGGTCACGTGAACCCATTGTATACAACATGTTAACTTAAATACTTTTTTAGGCTGATTCGACCAAGGAGAAGCTCAGGGCCAGGTTCCTTGTGCCATGAGCCGTGCTGGGCATTGTAATGAATTTTGCACCAAGTTTTTCTCACTCCTTTGTTTTGCCCCTTCAAATTGACATTTTCCTCTTCGGGGGGTTGCGGAAGAGTGTGGGGGGTGTCTGTTGTAAAAATGACACGGGGTCTTAGTGGGTTACTAACAAAGCTGGCCTACCTACTGAATATTTCTCATTTACTCTCCCAGTGGTTTCCATGTCACAGATAATTTAAATAATTACTCAAGTATGAATTGGGCAGACATTCCCAAATGTAACCTTTCCTGGATTAACAAACAAAATAGTTGTGAATATGTGACGAGGTTAAAAAGGGTAAGTTATCGTTGTAATCAACATCATTTATTTATCCAGTATGAAACAATTCCCTGAGCCCCAATGTCAAAATATTTAAACTGATCCTACTGGAGTTTGCTGCAAGCACAAGGGTTATTGGCAGTGCCTTACTCCTGCCCGCCTTGTGATGCAACCACACTGCACAGCACCATAATTAATAAATGTTGCTGTGAGGCAGGGGTAATTTCGAGTGACATGTCTTGCCGCAGTACGGCAGCGAAAGCAGGGCCAGGATTGTAAAATGAAGCGCGCACGCTCTCTGCTTCCTCGCCACAGAGTACAAGAAAGCGCGGCAGGAGATCAAAAAGAAATCGACAGACACCATCCGACTGCAGAAGAAAGCCAAGAAAGGTAACACGATGGTGAACGGGGAGGGGGGCGAGGGTGAGGGGGGGCAGGCAAGCTGTTGGCACCATGCTCCAAAGGGGACAAAGCCAGGATTCAGTAAATAACGGGGCACCCAAAGCTAGCTCCGATGTATGTTTGCGTATACTTTCCGTGCATATAAATAACGGCCATGATATTATTCACTCTCCTTGTGATTTGATAGTTTTTGACGGAAGTGATGGCAAGATGAAGTAGAGGCCACTATTGGACAACAACAGGCATCTAAGAAGAAAATGGGGGAGGCCTTTTCCCGGGAGTGGGAAGTTATGTTCTGACAGCAACAACAACATCGGTTTGGCTCCCAATTCGAGAACACATTATTTTTTTATATATATAAAGAAACAAAAAAACGCATAGCGCATCCAGTGACTGCAGCGGTCGCATGCACCCATTGGAGAAAAAAAATACTAAAATCGGTTCTCACACACGATTGTAAGTGTGTATCTTCAGCATAAGAATCTGTTTCAATCGATGATTAATCGGATCAACGTAGCACGACCAATGGATATCTGTTGCCATTTGCAGTCATGGCATTGCCTTTCGGTGTCATCCATCGCTCGATCTGAGCGCAAATTATTCTTTGCTTTGCCTAATAGCAACACACTGGATTGGAACCATTTATCAATTTCAGAAACCTGCTGTCGAGAGGAACCCAGGGGCATAAACAAGAGAGGTGAGGTGTGGGAGGGGCAGTGTGTCTCAGGGTGCCCCACTCTTTCTTGGCTTCTTCCCTTAAGGACAGCGTGTTTTCTTCCCCCCCCCCCCCCCCCCGCGTCTTAACACAAAAAGAAAACAATGGTGCAGTTGTTCTCTATGGAAAATAAGAACATTACTGCCGCTGGTCTCATATACACATTTATATATACAGTACAATGCTGCATATCCAACTCACGGATATGCAAAATGTCCGGATTAGTGAAGGTGGGAAATTACGGTTATGCCATTCGCAAATAGGTTATCAGACAAAAATGAAGCTCAAAATGAGCAGATTTAAACGTGGGAAATTGCCTTCATGTACTTTAGACATAAACGAATATACAAGAGAGTGACAATATATTAGTCGATTTTAAAAAGTCAGATTTGGGAACATCGCTAGCGAATGACGGACACACTGCGCCGGGCGTGGCTGGCTAATGAGTCGGATACATGACGGCCGGATATGCGACATTGTACTGTATACATTCTCCGTTCCGTTTCCAACTTTGACCCAAAATACCCATGAAAACTATGACAGCTGCATGGCTCGCACGGGGCGTTTTGGTTTGGAGAAGTGCGCGACAAGGGCGTCTGTGTGTGCCTGTCGCGAGCTCATGCGCCGAACCCCCTTAGCAGAAGAGCCGTTATGGAGCTGACCTAATTCTTCCCCCTTTTTTCCTCCCCCCCTCTCCTTCATTCCACTCTCTTCCCAGTAGAGATAATAGGTAAGTTCTGGTCACGGCACCAGTGCCACCTTTCCCTGAGCTCTCTCCCCCTTCTTTCCCCCGTGATCCCACTTCTTAACCCTCTCCCCACTCCACTGCATGAGCGTTTCTCCGTGTCACGGTGCGCCTGGCGGCGGGTGGAGCTGCGTGTGTCCGCACTGCCCTCTGCTGCATGCGGTGTCTCGCACTCTCATCAGCAGCCTACACACTGCTGCCAATGCGCTATCATCTCGGCCTTGGTTTCCTTAGAGGTGGCAGCCCCCTCGGTCGGGGGAAGCCATTTCAGCGTTCATCGTGTTGATTGCTTGGCTCTCCATTGTCCACCCTTGAGATGGTGCCTGTCTCTACAGCAGTGCTGCTCAAATTCCGGTACTCATGACTTCCCCATGGGTCAGGTTGTCAGTGATTGCAGATCTTTTCTATTCATAATCATGTCCACAGATAAGCAGGACTTGGTTCTGTATCTTCACGTTAGTCCATCGTCCTATTGGCTTCCCACACCAATATTATCCAGCAGTATTTGTTTAAACAAGCCAACTTTGAACCAGTTTTCGTCCTATTGGGATCTCATCAACAGAATTAGACTTGTTATTATTTTTCTATTCGTAAGCTAATTAAGCCGCTACATGTTGCACTCACCTGGTGGTTGGTGATCCGTGGAGAGATGGTAATGTGGGGGTTGCAGGCATCGGAGTTTGAGAGACGCTGCCCTAGTCAATGGTGCAATGCAATAGGTTTGCAAAATTAATTACTGCACCCTTCATTCCTCCTCCGGCTCTGCTGCCTTAGTGGTAAATATTTAAAATTTGGAGCTGCAGTGAATATTTTACTTGAAGACGAAAAAGCCTTTGAATAAACAAGACTAACGTTATTCACAAACCCACGCTAATTAAGCATTGCCAGTGGCTTTAATCTTACCAACAGATTAATAGTTACATTCATATCCGATATGGAATACTTTTGAGGTGCTGAAAACTTGGTCAGGAGAGGGTATGTAGTGGCTTTTTAAAACTACAGTGACATGTGATCGAAGCTGTGGACCAGAATGGCTTGACATTTAATAACCCGTTACAACCTCGGCAAATAAAAATAAAAACTTGCTTACAAGTGCAGGGCGCCATGGTTGTGAGATGTTAACTACCGCGTCTAGTATACAGGAGGGCATTGGGTTCTCAGTCCCTGCCCTGACGCCTCTATATTTAGAGTTTGCACATTCAATTTGCTCCGCGTCCTCCGGTTTTCCCCTCCACATTTGGCTGCTATACATTTCCGCACGATAAGCCACTTCGTTGAGCTATCATTTGTGGCCAGGTCGCTTATGAAAAATAACTATATAGCTCAGTGGGCCTTACCTGGTAAAAATAAAATGACAAAGTAAATTTACAGCAGCGGTGCTGATGAATGAGAGTGGTGAACGCCACAGTCCCCCGATGCCCCTCATCGTGCCCATCGCCCTCCGGCGAATGGCTGCAACTAATTCAAAACCAACGGAGTAAAAACAAAAGTAAAAGCCTTCTCGGGCACGAGGGGCCTGAGCTCGCGAGGAGGGGGGGGGGGGGCATTCGGTCGCGTGCAGCCGCCTCGTAGCCGGGCTCGTGCGAGAGGGCGCAGGTTGTGCATGCGGAACGGTCATGTTGGAGAGCCTTGGGGTGGGAGGGCTCATCGCGGTGGAAAGCCTTGGGGTGGAGAGTGACGTGATGGTGAAGCCTGTACTATGGCTAAAAGCCCTAGGGTAAAGAGTGTAATGGTGAGAAAGCTCCAGGGTAAATAAACCAACCTTGAGTTAAGGACATAATGGTGAATCGCACAGCGCTAGCACGTTTGCCACTGTTAGCTCCACGTCGCTCGCACCCAGATTGTAAGCACATCGGCTCTGCACGTGCCAAGTCAGATTTTTTTTTACCTCGATTAGCGGATTACTTCTAAATGAAATATGAATATTTATCATTGTAGTTTTTCATTGATTATATTTTATTTACGAGTTTCATTCATTTTATAACAGTAATGGAATTAAGATAGTGATCAATACCTGAGCGGAGCTTTGTTTTTATTTCTTGGTTATGATTTACAACGTTGCGCTACGAAAGTTGTAATAGCATAGTGCCACGTACGGATCGACGTATCGATCTGTTCGGGTTGCGCTGTCCGGCGCTGACAATTTACTGTTGTCCTTTGTCCCTTCTCTCCGACCTTTCCCTTCCTCTCTGTGCAACGACAAACACCCCCCCTCTCCCGTCCCTCGCGCTCCCTCCCTCGCGGTTACCTGGCGGCCGCTCGCAGGCAACAGGGAGGTGCAGCCGGCACTCGACTCGGCACTGCAGGAAGTGACGGACACGTACCTCCTGCTGCAGGAGGAGGAGAAGCAGGCGGTGCGGCGCGCCCTGCTGGAGGAGCGCAGCCGCTACTGCACATTCACGTACATGCTGCGCGACGTGCTGGTACGAACCACACAGACGAAATTCCCCCCACGTACAATAAAGTGATTGCCAGGCAAGAGCTGTTAGCGGGCACCAATGAAGGCCGGCACGGCGCACGAGGAGGTGGTGTGGATAGCACCACTCGCGGCTGCCTTTCTCTCCCCAGTGCCGATGTTTACACACTGCACCGATAACTCATTAAGGACTGAGGCGGTCAAAGGACGGTCTAGGACCGGTTCTGATATTCGCCACCAGTGTTGGCCGTGAGCGGTAATCGAACTTGAGTCGCCGAGTTTCTAACGGAGTGCACTCGGCACAAAATTTCTGCTCTCCACGAACCGCACACACGTACGCACACACGTACGCGCACACGTACGCACACGCGCGCACGCCTATGATGGCCTGTCACCAAATCTCACTGTGCCTGATCCTGGAAGTGAAGCAGCAGGGTTTTACCGGGTTTGTACTTGGGTAGGAGATTGCCGAGGAATACCGGATTGTTTGACCAGGAGATGGCAGTATAACGATGCATTGTTGCATCTATTTCGTACAGAGGACTGATTGTTAATCCCACAAATTCGTGGACACTTTTTGGGAACTCTGCTATCCTTCCTTATGCCAAATGCCAATTAATGAAATTGGTCAAACATCCCGATATAATGGGACCTTCTTGAAAAGAGTTTTGAAGACTTTGAGGATTCTTGGGTAAATACATGGAATTATTGTTAGGAAAGTAAACAATTATCCACTCCCCTGATTCAAATCAAATATCAACTATTTGAAACTTGAATACGAATTTACAAATTATCTATCTCCATGCATGTTTTGTAAGTGTAACAATCAATTTGAATCCATGAATCAATACATCATTAAATGCCAAATTATTTTTACTCGTGAGCCCGTGGGATACATCTGCGGAACTCAAGGTATGCTGCTGGCGGCCAGTATTTGATTGTATGCTTCTTTTACCTTAAATCAACAGGAAAGCTCCATTTCTGTAGGCTCCTCATCCTTCCTCTTTATGCCCTGCCCCCTTACTCCTCAGCCCCCCCTCCACAGGGTTTTGGTGGTGGTTATGGAAGGGCAGTAGGGGTAGGGGTGGGGCGGCTTCATGACCATGACCAATATCCCTCCTAGAGCAGCAATATAACAATAGATCACATCCAGCACACACCTGAGCACCAACTCTTCCCCCCACCCAGAGCCTTTCACCCATTCCCGCTCACTCACTCGCTCTCTCTGCGTGATCCGGCCATCACGACGGTCGTACCCACCGAAAATAAACCCAACGAGCAAAACAATGAATCCATTTCACGAGCCGGAGTGACGTTTCCCCCAGACCCATGAGGTGGCCATGCTGGGGGACGTGACGCACCTCCAGGCCATCCTGGACGACCTAAGCTCGCTGACCAAGGACCCGCACGCCCTGCCGCCCGCCAGCGAGCAGGTACGGCTGCACGCTTGTTGTTGTCGATCAGAGCAGAATGTCGCGGTGTGAGGAAATGTATTTCCAGAGTGAGAAATCCACCGTTTTCAATGTTGTTCTGGTGCTGTGGCTGAGCGAGTCTATAATAGTCTATTTTTGGGTCTTTCGGTAAAGTCACGTAGATAGGTTCAAAGAAAGTAACAAGAATAACAAAATGTTTTATTTGTTATTTTCTTTGAACCCATCTACGTGACTATACCGAAAGACCCAAGAATATTAATTTCTGCAGTCACGAAAGCTTTAAGTCTTTAATAGCAATTGCCAATTGTTAAAATAGCAAGTTATAGGGTAAAGATTGAGGATGAACAATTGCAGGAATTCATATTATTGGGTCTTTTGGTAAAGTCACGTAGATAGGTTCATAGAAAATAACAAAAAATAACAAAACCCATCTTCTCGGTTGAAATTGTGTCTGTGTCTATAAATATGGATGGCTTCATGAACGAATCTTTGTTGATAGCCAGTGGGCTTGCAAAGTACCATCGTCTTCGAGAATTACATTTCTTGTGAGCCAGCTGCATTAAAACAATGATCAGCCACGGCCGAGGTATTGGTCCTACCGTGTTTCAGATCTTCCTTGTGTTCACGAACACGGTCGGAGACATGTCGCTTAGTTTCCCCAATGCAACTACTGCCGCAGACACAACTTAGTTTGTAGACGCTGGTGTATTGCATGTCAGGGATCACATCCTTCACAGATGGGATCAGATCACGAATCTTATGTACTGTGTTAAATCGAACCTGGATCTTGTGTTTGCACATTATTTTGGAATTCTTTTTAGTGACCCCTGCTATGTATAGCAAGGTGATAGTTTTGATTGGCCACTCAGATGGTTCTTTCCCAACGGTTGAGGTGATAGCTTTACGGATTGTGTAGTCTGAATATCCATTCGTCTTGAGAGATTGGTGTACGTGTTCCAGTTCACTGGCTAGGTGATGACGGTCGAAAATAAATCGAGCTCTATGGTGTAGAGTTTTGATGAGGAAATTCTTCTGGGATGGATGGTGGCGGGAGTCAGGTTTTAGGTAGGCATCTGTATGGGTGGCGTTCCTGTAGACAGTGTCCCATTGAGCCATCTGGTCTCTTTTCGAGTTGATTCATTGTCAACATTTAGAGTCATAATTCATTACAGCCTTATATTGGTAACATTTTGTCTTGTTCTTACCATCTCCTTACCATCTCCTTTGTATTGGTTGTGTCCTCTCTATAGCCCAGATTGTGATATCAATAAATAATTTGCATGTAATACATAGTAAATAATAATATTCCAAACGTACAATTTACAATTTTACGTGGAATTATATAGCAATCTTCCTGCGGAGCAACCCAGGGAGCTTTATAATTAAAAAAAGTCATTAAGCCATTGTCTATTCCAGCTGAAAAATAAGCAATGAGTTTTTAAAGTTGATTTTAAAGATTCGATTGTGCCAGCAGCAATTCCTGATATGACTTGAAACAGATTTCCAGTGAGAGGCATGGAGCACAACAACTAAAAGGCTCTTGCCCACCACTAGAGGAATCTATATTTATCGATAAGTTAATACATGGTTAATGTTTCTGGTGTCCTTGCCTGCAGCTCATCCTGGACCTGAAGGGCTCGGACTACAACTGGAGCTACCAGACGCCACCCTCCTCCCCTAGCACGTCTGGCTCTCGCAAGTCCAGCATGTGCAGGTGACACCAAAGACAAAGACCCCTGTATAGCCTTTAACATACTCTTGGGGCAAGTGCAGTTAGCGAGCACCTATGAAGGTCGGCACAGTACACGAGGGGGTGGGTGGCCAGCACCACGTCTGGCAGTCTGTCAACCCAGTGGCGATATTTACACATCGTGACAGGTACTCATTTGAGGCCGAGTCGACCCAGGGGAGGCCCAGCACCGATTCATAAAATCGTCACTGGTGTTGGCAGCGCACTAACCGTTGTACTACCGATCCCCACTGCAGGTGACACCTTGAGTTCATGCATGCACATTTTGCCTTCCTTTAATTGTTTTATTCATTCGTAAAAAACGAAGAATAAATTAAAGATTCTGACAAAAGGTCGACACCGACGCTATTGTGTGGCTGCAGTGAGAGAGGAGGGGGGGGGAGTGAATTCCAAACGAACAGAGCCACGACAGAGAGGTGACATTCATCTCGTCTGCTTCGAAAGACGGCCTCGATGACGTGCAGGCCACTCGAGGCAAAAATCGGAGGTTGCGTTTCAGGGGCCCGCACCTCGCAATAATGACTTTACCTGTCTAAATCGATACACTTTTATCGCCAAAACGATCGCTAATGCATCGAGTGCCCGAGTTGTGACCTGGCCGCGGTTTGGTCCGGGGCGTCTGACTTCCTCGGCGTGTCGTGTTCCGCGCGTGTCGCGTCCTCAGCAGCCTGAACAGCGTGACGAGCAGCGACTCGCGCTCCAGCGGCTCGCACGCACACTCGCCGAGCGCGCACTACCGCACGGGTGGACTGGCGCCGCCGGCGCAGGCGCCGTTGCGCCTCTCCTCCGTCTCGTCAGACTCGGGATTTACCTCCCAGGACACCGTCTACTCGAAGCCGCCCTCGCCCATGTTTGGCCAGGTCGGTTTGCGACGATGGGTCCACCACCGGTCTCTTGTGTGCGTGTTCTGTATTGATAGGCAGCGCGCGTGCTGCTAGTGCAGCCTGTTTATTGATGTTATATGTGAATGCTTCTTTCCCTGTTGGTAGAAAGTGCCGTGGCTGGAGCAGCTAAAAATCTAAAATCAATTAGGGTGCCGTGGTGGCGAGATGTTAACCACCTCGCCTGGTATGCAAGAGGTCGTGGGTTCGATCCCGACCCTGACGCCTGTTTGCATGTTCTCCCTGTGGTCGCGTGGATTTCCCCCGGGTCTGCGGGGTTTCCCCTCCACATTTAGCTGCTATATAGATTGGTGGGCCGAATCTGGTAAAAGTAAAAAATTATAAGAAAAAGCAGTAAATAGTCATTGTGGTGAGGTGTGTTTTAGATTCACATAGGCCCTTCATAGCATCTGCTTGCCTATTTGAGTTTGTAAATGAGCTCCTAACAAATGGGTTTACTATCTGTTCTTTATTTGTTAATTTACCTCATTGATAATCATGAACTGGGCTATATAGAATGAAAATTATCATAAACTGGGCTATAAAGAATGTAAATTTGCTATTTTATTTTTACTTAATTGGCAGAATAAATGGGGTAAATCGGCGGCATAATGGTTGGCACATAATGGTTATCACCTGTGAATCTAAAGACCTGCGCTCGATTCCTGGCCACGGCTATCTTCGGTGATGAGTGATATCTGCATCAATCAAACCCCCCTTCAATGGTATGGTAAAGTACAGTCAAGCAAACTCCATGACAGATAGCAGTGGTTTGACAAAGGGTTCTACAATTTTGTTTATAAATGTACGGAGAGAAATATCATCTTCTTACGTAAAATAAATTAGGAAAATGTTTTCCATTGATCTATGGGCATTCTGGACCAATGTTATCTGGCACCTACGATTAGCACGTTTGGTTATGTACAGTGCAAAAGAAGTTCACCATACAATAGTTTGATTAAGCAAGTAAACTCTCGATTAGTTGAGACTCGGGGTCTCATCATCAGCGTCATGCCCAGCCAAATTGGACCAGAAGAGATACGGACTTCCTGACAGTTCATACGGAATTCCTTGCCATTCTTATTCATTGCACTCCTTTCAGCTGGCCCAGAAGTCCATGAGCCTGGCCGCGGAGTCTTCTGCCAATGAGGGCAGTTTACCGGCCTCGGCACTGCCCCAGCAGGTAAGCTGCCCTCGTTTAGTGCATCGCATTCTCCCGTGTTAGGTGAATACCGCCACCCCATTACATTTAAATCCTGTAATTATATCGTGGCATTTCGTAAGGGTAACTGTCAGAGGGTATCCTATGTTCTATTGCAAGCTTTCAGGTGCTGAAGGTGTTTTCGGATTGACCTGAACTACGGCCGCTTGCGATGACTTTGCAAGTCTTGTGATGTTGTGAAATGTTGTCCCTTGCTGACATTGACTTGCTGGCTCTAATGAACCTGTTGCTTTTTGTCAAGGTCTTCGCGTCTGCCGACAGAGAGCATTGAAAGGCTGCTCGTGGAATTTGATTGTTTTGTTATTGCAGTAGATATTGTTTGGAAATTTCTTCGTGAGATTCTGAACATTTTTCATATATTTTAGAGTCTGATTTTTAAAAAATGTAATTGTTTCCCATAGGCTATAACAGACATTGTTATTGATCAAAGTGCATTCTGCAGTCAGCTCTGAATTGATATTTTAGAAGTTGGTGCAAGTTTACAGAATTGTATAGTCAACTGTAACAAATGCACCAACGCTTGGTTATTTCCACTGTCGGCTGCTTGAGCTCCGAGGGACGTTACGTCAAAGTGAATGTGTCGCTTTCAGCGTCGTTGGTTTTGGTTTCTGTTTGATTTGTGTGTTTGTCTTATTGTTTTTGTTTTCCCCCCCCCGGTGTTTTTGTTGTGTTTTCGTGGACAGCAGCTCTCATGCCATGATCCTCCGCGCTCATCCCACAGTGCCTGCTTCTCCTTCCCTCCACTCCCGTGTGACGCCCTCCCGGTCACTAACCTCAGGCCGACCCCCCACCCCTCCAGCCCTGCCCGTGCCTGTCACCCCCATAACCCCACCGCTAATAAGCACCCACCCCCACGGCTCAACGACTCCCCGCCGCTCTCCCCTCTCCCCCTCTCCTCCCAGGTCCCCAGCTGGAAGGTTGGTCCTAACCCCCCCGTCCCCCCCGTTCCACGTCCCAACCGAGGGCTGCCTCCCGTTCCGTATTTCGTAGAATCTGCCCATCGCCGCTCGTCGGATTCAATCGCTTCGCTACTCGACAACCAAGCCTCCCTTGATTAGCCACCATGCCAGGTTTTGTTAGTGCTGCTGAACAATCAAGCTCTCCAGGGGTGGGCTGGTGTGTTTTTGATTTGGATGGGATGTTCACTTACAGTGAATGTTTGTCTTGGCATCATTGCTGATAGCAATTTCGTATTGACTTGCTGCAAAGGAAGGTCACTGCTTCATATGGTACGGGAGGCAGCCCTACCCAACCCTACTCCCACCCACCCACCCACTCACCCGTGGCCGATGTAGAATCATAACGTGAAAGTTTTCCGCATCTCCTACCGGCTGTCTAAACGGAAAAGTCACTTTGACACCTCGCCGCATTTTACCTTTGGCCCGGTTTGCTCAGCAGCCGTAACAATAAGTGACCAAGCACCGCCTTGTTCCACGCCAACTGGGCATTAAGCTGAGTCATAGATGTTCTTTTTTATTAATGCCGCTTAAATTGAAATGTTCTAGATCTCTGAGCTAAAATATATATAAACATCTGGCATATAAGCCTCATCCGAGCCACCACGCCAGGCTGTTGCAGGGCTTGTATGGTGGGAGTGACAACAGATTGATCGCTCCTAATAAGTCTCTCGCCACATTTAATTAACAAGAAGGAGGCATCTGTAACAGTGATACGGTATAATACCCAGTGTCCATTGGACATTCCTGCTTCACCGCAGTCGAGGGCGTAACATCGTGTCCTGTAGTCGACCCAGCGTTAATCTTGCCTTGCCCCCTAATCCTGCCATCCAGACCCGCCACTCCACCACTTACTCGACCCTCCAGCCTAACTTCACCACCTAACACATCATCCTTTTTCTCCAGTGTTTCCTCCAACAAACTAAGTGCATTTTTCGAAAGTAGTAGCATGCAAACGACACGAAACTAACCATATTGCAAGCACGACATTAATTTGCATTGTGGAAGTCTCCTGCTCGAACTAGATTTCTGCTAGGCCTTAATATTGCACGATTTAAATATTCATTTTTCACATCCAATTTGTTTGTTAATTACTGTACCATTTCTTTGTAAGTTCATTTCAAAATGTTTCACGCAAATTATGAGAGATACTCTTCAACTAAAACCTATGATTAAAGCAAGCACAGTATGTTTAGTTATGTCCTGGATTATTAAGCCGGTAGCAGATGCCAATATTGTGCTCGTCCTCCTGCATCCACGCTGTGCAGGACTGGGTGAAGCCGGGACCCTACGACCTGCAGGTGGCAAACACTCTGGCGCGGCGGAGCGAATCCAACGAGAGGCCCGCGCCGATGACCATGCCAGCAGAGATGGTGGCACCGCCCACACCAGGAGTGTCCGCTGGGCCAATCATGCCAGGGCCTGTCCACAAGGTACAGTGTCCACCCCATCACCTATTGTCCACCCAACGAGGTGGTGTCCACCCCATGATTTATTGTCCACCCCATGAGCTATTGTCCACCCCATGAGCTATTAACCACTACATGAGCTCTTGTCCACTCCACAAGGTGCTGTCCACCTCATGGGCCAAGGTCCTTCCCGGGCTAATGTGTCAAAGTTTATACAAGTCAATAAGTAAACATGCGTGTGTGAACAGAGGTATCTTAAGGTTTTCATACAGATGGAAATATTAAGTTTTTACATTTTCTCCACTTCCCACACTGCATGAGATGACTTACTCAGGCTTGTGCCAGAAAAGCCATCCTTAACCAGCTTGTGGTCATAGATGGACCGCAGCAATAGAAGCCAGGGGATGTGGAGTGGGTGAGACTCATCCTTCTGCCCAGAACAAACCTCAAGTCTCTCCGGCTCATTCCCCTGTGATTGCTAAAATTATTGATACGCTTGTCATACTTTACTAAAATATGTGAGATAATTATTGATGAAATTAGCATATTTTCTAACGTCACATTTTTGGCTAAATGAAGCGAACAAAACTGTGCAAACGAGACTGAGAAAAAAATGATAACAATACATACTCGACTATAAAAATGGGACAGAGATCCGATTGTTGAATCAAGTGAGGACCCTGAATTGTTCCAATTCCTCAAATGACTGGGAGCGCGGTTGCCTCCCGTGCTGCTGCGTGGCCTCCAGGCACCGGGGGACATGGCGCGGGCGATGCTGGCCCAGAGCCTCCTCTCGGGGGGCTCCCAGAAGAGCAGCCAGGAGACGCTGCCCTGCTCCAGCGGCTACGGCAGCCAGGCCTCCACTCCGCGGTCTGACGACTCCATCTCCATGCACGGTAGGGGGCTAGCCATCGAACAAAGGCGGTCACCGCATCGCACGCGTTCAGATGCGCTTACCGCGGTCGTCTGGAGCGGTCTTCCTTCCGTTATTGGGAAGCCACTGCAGCTGTGGACTTTTAAATCTAGATTGAAAACTCATTTCTTTCTAACTGCTTTTTATGTTTCGTTTGTTGTCCTTGCCCCGCACCTCCGATTACCACGGTTGGCTATGTACGGTGTGAACAAATTTTCTACATTCATACATAGATCCTCCCTCCTGCACATACACTACCTCCATATCTCCCTCCCCTCCCATGTTCCCTGCCTCTCTCACTTCCAAATCTCCCTCCTTCCTATGTCGCAACATTCATGTAAAAAAAAGAAACCGTCGCTACATATCTGAGATACAGTGTAGTGTGAAAGCCTCAAAATGTGTGTTCTGTTACATGTGAATGAATGATCTATGCTCTCTTCCTTCACCAACCAGCAGTGATCAGTGTAGTGAAGTATGATGACACTAAAACTATTTTGTAAAACTATTTTTATTTGACATGGTAAGGCCTACTGAGCTATATAGCTCTTTTTTAGAAGTGACCTGGCCACAAATGATAGCCCAATAAAGTAGCTTATGTGGAAATTTATAGCAGCCAAATACTCCAAATGTATGTTTCTAAATGTGGAGGGAAAAACGTTAGGATCTGGAGAAAAATCCACGCCACCACGAGGAGAACATACAAACTCCAAATATACAGGTATCAGGGTCAGGAACGAACCCACGACCTTCTGTATACCAGGCAAGGTAGTCAACATCTCGCCACCGTGGCGCCCACAAACTAAAACAATCCCACGACCCATATAGCATGGTGAAGCCCTCATCCAGCAGTGGGATTGACGGAGGGCACGTGCGTTTCTGTAATCCGCAAGGTGGAGACTATGGCTACTACACGATGAATGGCGAGATGGACCGGGCAGCGCAGTCCGACTTTGACAAGTGCGCCACCATCTCGCGCAGCAGCGACATCGCGCGAGCGTACCGCCACATGTTCCAGAACAAGCGCGGCGGCTCCGTGTCGAGCGCTGCCGCCGACTCGGCCGCCGCGGCGGGGCTGGCGGCGTGCGGCGTCGCCACGATCCGCCGTACCCCCACGCTGCGCCGCACCGCCTCCAGCGGCGGCCCCATCCCTATCCAGACGCCAATGATCCCCCTCGTGCGAGGCCCCGTCGTGCCGCCCGTTCACGGGGGCGGCACGACGGGTCGGGGCGGCGGCGGCGGTGGTCGTGGAGGCCGGGAGCAGCAACATGATGGTGGTGGTGGTGGTTTGATGTCGCCTAAGCACGGCATGCTGCCCGGTAAGGGACACGCCCCCCCCCCCCCCCACCTCTTTCCTTTGTGAAGTGCGTGATGTCACACAGTAACAGCTGGCTTGTGGCAATATATACCATTGATCATGATGACCAATGGTTTTGTTGGTGAAAGCAACGTTGCCAAAACGCCACTCCGTGAGGCTGAGACCAAGGCAGGTTTTGGCTCTCCCCATTGTGATGAATGTTGCGAATCGGAATGACTGCGTGTCACGTATCGCACACTCCCCCGCAATTCTGTAATTGTAACGATTCGAGGTTGCCATAGGGTTTAAGAATTGATGCATTTTTGTTAACCATGTGGTGAATATATCGCCTCCAGTGGCTACAGGGGTCACTTAAATCAACTACTTATTTTTTATATTGTTTACGAATTTTTAATAATTGGCACGCTTCTACGCATGAATAAATCATTTATTAGTGCATCATTATATCGTAAGTATTGGTAATAGCGGAAGTATGGACTGTGGAGAGTTCTGAATTGCTGTTGCCCAATGTTAAGACAATTTTCCTTCAAAAGTAAAGGCTCTCACAAGGTGGCAGCAAACGACTGTCTGAATCTACACAATACATTATCACAATCTGAATTTATATTATTCTGGAGAAATCCGATGAGCTATAAAGCTCTTTTTGACAGATGTTCAGTTGGGGCGGGTAAGAACGTTACAAGAACAAGTGTAAAAAATATAGTACCGACTAAAGTAGATGTGAAAGTATTGTCACCATAACTGTTATTCTTTTTCCAGAGGGCGTCATCATTGTTATTCTTATGCTGGAAAGCTGGAAAGCCTCACTGAGTCTCAAGACTCTTTTTCAAGAAGGGCCTTCATTTTGACCAATCCGTTCATGGGTGTTCACCTAGAGAAAACCCTGGGAGTTTACAGAGATAACATTCAAAGCTCTATACAGATGGATTTAATCCATTTGCTGTGCCACTGTTTCTTAGACATTTTGCAGCCCACCAAGCTTTCATTGAAATGGCACTTTTAGTTTTTTTTGTACAAAGCAACCGCACGCGGTGTCCCACACGTGTACGTTTTTGTGCACGCAGCTCGTGCGCCACACGACCGAGTGCGCTTCGTGTGTGCATCCCGCTAAATCCCCCGCTCGTGCCACGTGTCCCCTGCGCGTGGAGCAGCGCGCGCCAGCGCCTCCAGCCGCAGCGGCAGCGAGGAGCGAACGGACAGCGGCGGCAGCCCCCGGCACGTGGCGCCGCCCGGCAGGTCGTGGTCGCGCAGCGGCAGCGAGGAGGCCCTGGAGCGGAGCCTCTCGCCGAAGCGCAGCACCCCCAGCGGCAGCAGCAGCAGCACGCCGGGCACCCCCGGCACCCCGGGGCCACGCGGCTGGCAGGGCGGCAGCGGTGGCAGCAGGAGTGGCAGCGAGGAGCGTCTGGAGGAGCGGAGTCTTTCTCCCCGGCGCGGCTCGCACGGGCCCGCGCGGGGCGGCTGGTCAGCCGGGCCGCCCCCGACCTTGATGAAACCATCGGCCGCGGTGATAGCGGCCGTGCAGGGAGGGGGAGGCGGCGGTGGCGGCGGCGGCGGCGGCGGCGGCGGCGGCGGCGGCGGCGGCGGCGGCGGCGGCGGTCTCCAGCGGGGCGGATCGCAGGGCTCGTACTATGCGCAGGCCGAGGAGGAGCAGCGCATGGCGCAGAACTACCAGAGCATCGCCGAGAAGCTGGAGGCACTCACGGCCGGAGCGCACGCCCTGGCCGAGGAGCAATTTCCGCCTACCGTGCCGCCGCCCGGTGCTCTGCCCAGCTCCCTCTCCGAGGAGACGGACACGCTGGGCACAATCCGGCGTGGCGTGAGGCTACGGCAGACGGGCTCCAGGAGCGACCGCTCGGCGCCAATGTTCGCTTACTATGCCCTGCTGCAGGGGGAGAAGCGGATAAAGTGACAGTGGTAGGGAAAGCGGGGGCTAAACGAGCAGATGGGGTGGACAGATCGGATGAAGAGTTTAACGAAGGCAAGACATGATGTGAAGGAGAGAGAGGCACAGAAAGAGATTGTTACTGGAGGAGGAATTGAGCGGATATGCGGAAGATGTTTCCAAGCGACGGGTATGTCGGTGAAACTTTGTAGAGGCCCCTTTTGTGCACTTTTGTGCAGTGTTTTAAGGAAGGACCCTGAAAAAGGCCTGCACTGGGGTTACCCATCAAATTTGTTAGCGTGTGAACATTCATCCTGTCTTGCATAACTTAACCCACGTGATTTTGAGCAACATGCATTTTACGGCTTTCAATATTTTTTACTTTTAAATTTGTGGCGAGACAGCTCCTAAAGTTTTATCCTCCTAGAGAGGGAGGTCTGTTGAAAATGAAAGCCATAGGAGTGGGTTTTAGAAGCCAAAATTCTGACCGATTTACTTGAGGTGGCTAATTATTAACGAGTGGAGTTTACTTTCATTGAGGCCAAGTATCCATAGACAGCGTCTCCAAAATGGAGGCATGAATTTTGTATTGTTAGTTTTTTTCGTGATTTAAAACTATATTAATACAACAATGTAATGCAGCAAATACAAGCGATGTAGATATATAAAATGAGTGAACGTGGCTTCGGAAGCGCACGTAATCTAACACCACAACCTCATGCGCACTATTAAAATAATTATTGCAGTGGCATGAATCACGATTTTTCAAATGTCAACGGACAGCTGAAAATACTCGCGGCACGTCTGGAAATGAAATTGCATCGAGAGTAAATGGCTTTATTACTTCAATATTGACGTGCCGTCAAATTACCGCAGCATTCCCAATCCCAGTAGTGTTTGCAACCACCTCCATTTTTCCCCTCCGACTCCACCCAGCGAACCTTCATGACCCCTTGCAGAGACTCGGTGCTGAACGGGCACATACACATTGGTGTGCAGCCCTCGGTCGATCCACTGCAGGACGAGGGTCTCTCTGCGCCGTGAGACTCTTGGGGGTTAGGGTTAACCGTACTTCAGCGCATGCCGGTCACTGTGGGTTGGTGAAGGCAGGGAGCATTGAAGTGCAGTGGAACAATTGAATTTACTTCACTGCCCTCTGCTGCCAACAACATAGCTCCGCGTACGCCTTGTACAGTTTAAACGACGAAGGTGCACATCGTAGTGGGCGATTCAGATATTGGGAAATTGAGGAGAGATTGGATTGACTGTGTATATGTGTGTGTGAGACAAATAGTGGAATTTCATCGATAGTACCTTGTGGATTCTCGAAAATGACCTAATAAATGTCAGCCGGTCAGTCAAGTTAATGCAAACGTGCATAGGGAATGGCTGAAATATGTGCATTTCATCAATGATGTAGAGTTTCGGTGTGAATATTATGCCAAAAGCGAACGTTCTTCTCAAGCATGATTTATTTATTCATTTTGTTGCTCGTTATTTTTTAAATGGGGACCACGCGCAGTGGCTGAGGTGTTGTGTGCTGGCCGGATGTCGCCCGTGACAAACCACGGCGATAAACACACGGATAGCGTGCGCCGAGTAACAGCATGCGATGACCGTTCCTGTAATAGCCTGAAATAACAGTTACGTGTGTTGATGCTGTCTCAGTATTATAAATTGACAAAGGTTGAGTATTCCTAGGTTTAACTCTTTACGAATGCAATCGGTTGGTGTTTGTAAAGTGAATTGCACAAATCTCACTCCTTGTGGCGGTTAGCACAAATATTTTGAAAATAACTTAAAATTTTTGTTCAGGGATTCTACTCTAGTGATTTTATTTTCGTAAAAAATGATGACGGTTTTTCTATTTTCTCTGGCACACAACTGAGATACTTTTTATTGCATATAAAAACACGTGTGGCTAATGTGTCACTGAAAACAGGCCTCGGTATATTTCTTTTCTGTTTTGGCATTTTATGGACACACACACGTATATAATAATAATAAAAGGGTGGTCAAAATGTTTTAAGAACGAAATGCAAAAAATTACTGGGGTCAGATAAAACTGCTTTGACAGCAGCATTTAGCATTAATATCTGTCTTCGTGTATCTCGGCATCAAATCGGTTAGATGAATCATTATATAATTATACATGGTATAGATATATTTTTAAAATGTTTAGTAAAAAAAATCTCTAAGACAAATACCCTTAAACGTTTATTTTGAACATTGTTCTGAAAACACTTTGACCACCTCTTGCGTGTATATTTGTTACATGTACGCGTGCATATATGTATTTGTTAATACATATGCATACAGTATATCGTTTAGGAATTTGTCTCTCGTGTGTACATTTACGTTGGTTAGTGCTGGATCACCTTGGACATGTAAGTAGACTCTGCCATCCTCTTCTATGAGCCAGAATTGTGTTTGCGCGTTGTCACATGCTCCGTACATAGCCCCAGAGGAACACGCGGACTAACCCCCAGGGGGGGGCCCGTGTGCGTGCTGTGAGCCTGCAAGTTTTTCACGAACACATCTTCCGAAGAAGAAAAAAACTGCACTACATTGTCCCTCCTCTGAGCCTTAACTTGAGTTGCCTGTTGAAATACTGTGTGGCATTTAACCTATTGGGCTTTAGCTGTAACTTTATCGGAAGAGCTAATATATTAACACATGGTTCTTTTTTCAGGCTTCATTCGATACATAAGTGACTTACGAACATATAGAATTGTCTTACAAATGTACTCGCGTTAATAACTAAGAATATCGTATTTTTAAATGTATAACCAGAGCCTGTGTTATAACAGCCAATTTAGTAAACGTCACAGCTCCAAGTAGTCGTCCCTTCATTTTGATGTGTGTCATGTATGGCCCCATTTGTTAAATTGATTTTCACGGTAGCCTAGAGATTGGCACAGTCTGATTTTTGGGAATACCCTAATTATAGGCCGATAGCAAATACCACAAATCGCCGATGGCAATTTGTCAGTGGCCAGACGCCTTGACACGTTAAAGACAGTTCTCATTTTCGTCACCCTTTTTTCAACGTAATGACACGAATGCACAATCTATTGTTTTTCGTTGCGTAAATTTCCTCGCGATTGGCATCGTTGCGTGGTGCGGCCCACCGCTGCCCCCAGTTAAGAGCCAAGTCCCAGAAATCAGACTGCTCGCCCCGTACACTTCACCCATCGGCTCGTGTGCCATCCGACACGGCAGGGTCCACGCAAACGGTCCTGTACCTCGAACAAAAAAACGCCCTTTTGCCAGTGGCATATCCAGTGGTGTTCAAACGGCTAATGCCGGTATGCTGTGTGAACATGGGAATGAGCGCGGAGAAGCTGTCGGCTTGGGAAAGGCAAATCTCAAGCACACAATTGATAATACCGATTTTGGTAATGCAGCAGAATGCAACTTGTCCCAGGTGTGGAATGTACCGCGTGGGTTGAGGGGGCCAGCCGCAGCAAGAAGGGGAAGGGGGCAGGTTGGGGGTGAAGGGAAAGAAAGGGCCCCCCTCGTAGGATATGCCACTTCGTCGTTTGCCGTTACGATCTGCTGAGCGGCGAGCGGCGAATACCAGTGTCACCTCAAACAGTTGCAGTGAATTGTATATATGTAATAAGTAAAATAGAAAAAAGTAATGGTTTCAATTTAATTAATTCTCTAACTAAATGTATAACTAGAAGGAAGTAACATTAAGGAAAAAAATGCTTTAAAGTTGCCTGCATTATGAAATAATTGTGATAACCGCTTTTAAGTGTACAGTCCAGAAAGTGTCGTCACCTCGGGTGTGTTGCGTCAACTTCGGGAGTGACCGAAGCAAGTTCCACTCGGAGGTGAAGTGCGGGGTCCTGTCGTGTGCATTTCCATCGTGATTGATGTTAACACAGTGTTCCCAGGCTCACACGTGCTTGTATTTAAAAGGCAAGTCTCTAGTGTGTTTGTGAAAATAGTGCTTTTGTATGACGCACTCAATTGTTGGCCAAATATTCAAACCCAAGAAATAAAGCGCTACTATTGCACACATTACTACGTGGGCTATCTTACTTTTGAAATCGCACGAATGTCACCCGTGTATGTGTGTTTGGGAACCATTGGCGTAGTGGTTAATGAGTGGTTAATGAGCTTCGAAACGAACCTGGCAACCTGAGTTCAATTCCTTTCCACGGTTAAAATCGGTAGCGAGTGATATCAGAACACAGTCTCTCTCAGGCCGACTCGAAAGTAAATGAGTACCTGGTGCAATATGTAAACATCAGCACTTGAGATACAAAGGCGGCCGGGTGTGGTTCTGGGTGTGGTTCTGGCCACACCCAACGTGCACCGTGCTGCCTGTATGGATGCTCGCTCACATAACGTGCCCCAATAGTCTATGCATGTCTGTGTGTGTGTAGATGTAATCTCAAAATGCAACAAAACTTGTATTGCAGACTCCAAATTTGAGTCTGAGTTGGAGATCAGTATTGAGGAACTAGAAATTCAAACACTTGATAGAAATTAAGTTTACTTAAATCGTGTTGAAATAAGTTAAAAGCTTAAAGGAAACAAAGCATTACACATTTGCAGCACATCACATTCTATACTATGATAGGGGTGGCTAAATGTCCTGACTCTACCAGCCACATAATAGAATATGTATATTGCCATGAGCCACAAGACGCACGGCCGGTTCGCTCGTGCTGGTTGGCTGTGCAGTTTTGAATTTAGAAATCTGCAGGAGCGCCCTGGGAGTACTCACGTCTGGCTCTGCTGTCAGGGGAAAATGTCCACCTTCGGCAGCTTTTTCCAGTTTCAAATGGAACTATATTGAAAAAGAAAAATATTCCAATCTCTATTGAGCTGCACTTGAACTGTCGGAGAGCCACAAGTGGCTTGCAAGCCACGGGTTGGCCACCGCTGTGCCTCTTGGTTAACTGTTACTAGACAACCGGCACAATTACATAAACATTCACTCATATTCACTGCAGCGTGGTTTTGATTATTTGGAAAACATTTTCCAGCCGTGTGTATTTTCCTTTGTGATGTTGAACACCAAGTAGGTCTCGAAGTTTGGAGGCATCGTACAAAAAGTAATATCAGGGATCCCAGCTGCCTGTAAAACAACGCAGGCATTACCACCAACACTTGTGCAGTACTCGAGTTTGGTTTCAGACGACCACTGCCTTAAGCGATCACCTCAGAGACTGAGGGGTCTCTGTTCGGATCAATTCACAGAAACTGATTTCAGTTCGATTCAGATAGTTCAAGCAAGCAAGACACCAACTCCATAAAAACATTTTTTTTGAAGAGCGAGATTTTTAGTTGCGAGAAATTTAGTGATTTAAGAGAAGCCTTGCATTCTAGTGAGCAAAGCTTGTTTATGCCACTTAAAATAACTTTACAACTTTTAGGCACCATCCTCTGTTACAAAATAATACGAATACAGCAACATTGACAGTGGAAGAGTGGATGGAGAGACTCTCAATGAGCAGTATTCAAATCTCGGGATAGCTATGCTGTTCAGCACATATAAAAATGCTATTTGTGATCATTGTTGTGGTTAATGTGAAACATTTCCTTCCTCGGCCATTCTGGCACACTACTTTGTGAATGTTCCGAATAGATTATTTATCTCGTGAGAAAATACCGAGACCACAATTGGAATACACGTGTCGAAAGATAAAGAGAGAACTCAATAGCAATAATTATTTATAAATAACTACGATTTGCAGTACTTGTAATTGTATTTAATTCGAGAGGCCTACAATTTATGGAATCGATTAGGTCGGTGTTAATTGTGGTCGGTGGTTAAGCTAATATTGGGATTTTTGTGTAATTAGTATTCCTCTCGTGGTGACATTTTCATCCGATGTTTCTCATCATTCATTGTCTTTGGCAAATGGGATTCTTTGATTTGATTTCCGCTGCAGCCTTTGCTCACCACTTTGTGGAAAAAGAAATTGAGAATGTTCTTGCCTACAGCAGCCGCTCACCAGTAAAGTACTTTTGTACTTTAACGCAACGCAGCTGCGTGCCCTGCAATTCACGCGCACGTCGTTTTCAATCTCGCCGGACAGAATCGATGGGTGTCTGCTACTCACAGTTAAATGTGGATTTCATTGTGAAGTAGATGTTGTCGATCATATTCTTTGGGGTTCTGAATGACCAGCTTAACGACCGGATACACTCCTCCACCTCATCTTCCTTCTGCACGCACCCACACACATATCCATTTGTTAGACATTCATCATTATAATCCTGCCACAGCTATGATATTGTGTTTCTATTATATATAATGTCATTGTATTGGACTGTTTTCCCTTATGAATTGATATTGCATTTTCTCGCAATTGAATTAATTTCCATTCGACTGTATTGGATTTAGATCCATTGCATTGTATTGAATCGCACTGCATATTATTGGATTGCATTGGATGGTTCTTCCCATTGGATGTGCATTGCATGATAGTACTTCGTTTCATTGCATAATATTCGATTATATTCCAATTTATTTGAATGGGATTTAGTTGCTCTGCATTACATTACATTGTATTCTATTGCACGGACGTGGGTGGCATTCATTTGCATGGCAGTGTGCACTTATTGCATTGTATTGGAAGGCCCACGTCGACCACGCTACGCCGCTGGTCCCGCCCAATTGCATTGCGTTGAACCGCGGTGCATTTCCACCGCAGCTGTGAATCGCGGTACCGTGAGCAGGTGGGGGCGCAGCAGCAGCTGGTGCCGCATGCCCAGGATGAGCAGTTGTAGGCGCCGGGTGTAGTCCCACGACGGGTGCTGCCGGTGCAGCTGCCCCATGAGTTGCTCGAGGCCCGACACGCTGGCCGAGGCCCAAGCCAGCTTCTCGTCGCAGCCCCGCATCCTCTGGCGTCCGGTCGCCGCCGCCCGGGATCACGCAGGCCACGGTTGGCACGTACGGAAGGAAGAGGCGCAGGTGCAAAGTAAAATGACGTTCGCTTTTGGTCGGTGCTTCGTGTGGTCTCGTCACCACTATTTGTGTCCTCAGTATGTGTGTGTGTGTGTATACCTCGTCTTAATTCCAGGTAATGCGACTGTGCTTTGTTTTTTTATATGTTTTAGTGTATTTACTTTGCAGTTTAATGAATTGCATTTAATGTAAATTGTGCAGCTAAGTCAATGTTACAGCACCAGCAACGGGCCAATTATTTTCTGATTGTGGGGTTAAGTCGAGGCGAGCCTGGATATTGCTTATATGGTTCGATTGCCATGAAAAAAACACCTGTTGTTATACTGCTTCGAGGCTGTGTGGATTACTAGCCCTGGTTCTACGTGGGTAAAAGTATACAGAAAAATATGTTATAAACGAGTCAAATGTTTATGAGACTCCCATGAATTAATATGTAAAGTCGAAAAATAAGTTTATAGAGCAGTTCGTGAGAATACAAAATTGGAGCCATTGCTTTTGAGACCCTTTATCAGCAGAGGATAGGATAGAAACTCACATTGTTGTATTGTACATTAATTCCAATTATATGCTCCCCACCTTCACCAGTATGATGAAAACAACTTCCATGATAGGGGAGGCCTTTATCTGGCAGTGGATTGACAAAGGACTCAAGCTATAATTAATCAAATAAAAGATGGAATTAAATTTATGCAACTGACCAGTTTCTTCAAGTTGAGTTTGGTGATGTGCCTGATGAAGAGCTTGTAATTTTTGGGGAAATAGTGCTCCTGCAAAACAAACAACTTCACTCTTAGTTTATGTAAACTGATGGCCACATTTTACTCCTACTACTATTTTTATTTTACAAAATCAGCACCTTGGATTCATAGGGCAAATGTAGAAACACAAAACCACGCTTTGCTCCATAAACAATTACACAGTCACAGTCTTTTGTAAAGATCACGTGAATGTGACCAGAGTATCTGGCACACATGTGAAGATCATCCCTCGAGTGTAATTTAACAATGTGGCTGCATCATGTGGCTATAATACACTCTTATTTCCTGCTAGAGCATTCCGGATTAAAATGGATTTTGCCCAAGGTTTCAGAAAAAAACCCAACTTGCTCGCTTAACTGGCCTCGTATCCCCATGTCACCCCGAGTCCAATGTCTTGCCACTGCCGACGGCTGGGCCTGCACTCGAGGAGGAGCTCTAGAGAGCTCTAGAGAGATATTTTGAGAGGATATTTGGCCGACTCTTTCATGCCGGTCAGATGTCTTGGAAGGGGTGGGAGTTACTCCCACGTCACCCCACAGCACACGATCTGTCAATCAACCAACTGTGGTGCACTCGTTCATACTGCTGGGTGAACATACGCGGAGGGATTTAAGAAACGTGAACTATTGTGTTTAAATGCCAAACAAAGAGATGGAGCTGGTCACCTTAAAAGTCCAACATGTTAACCATTACACCGCGGCCGTATCTCAGCAGCAATTTCCCATGGTACAGGGGGCGGGGGACCGAACACTATTTCCCTGCCAAACAACTTCCGAAGTTCTTTGCCCAAGGGTCGGTCCTTGACTCAAGTGCTTTCAATCTCATCCAATCACTCTTCGCCTCCAAGCACCACACTCTGTACTGTTCTGGGCTTCTGATATTTTTAAGGTGACACCATCACATTCACCGGATGCAATTTAACATCTCGAGGACATCAACTTATTGAGAATGATAGGTGACCGTTGCTGATGGCCTGAGGCTTAATCTGTTACCCAGAGATGAGAGATCCCAAGGGTCAAAGGTCTACCTCGTGGCGAACAACCCAAACTATAACCAATATTTCACGGTCAGGAGTTCAAAGTGTTCGACATCACCAAGGCAACCGACTGAGCATGACACACACACACGGCTGTGCAACCAACCCAGGTGCCCTGCATTAAAATAAGATCCCGAAAATATAACAGACAGAGGAGGGTGGATTTGACTGCAAATGATCAGGAACCGGCCACCCCCACCCGCACCCCCACGTGACGCTTCTCCCCTGCCTTGTATCTCAAGCGGTTGGAGCGATGCAGCTCGGAATTGAGCGCCTCGAGGTCCCAGCACTCGGACTCGGTGTACGG